TTTTTTTTTTTTTTTTTTTTTTTTTTTTTTTTTGTCTTTTTGTCTTTTTCCGTGTCCGGCAACGGATCGCAACCCTCAGTGTTGCCCCCGTACCGGACCGGGGACCGGCAACGGGACCGCAACCCTCGGGGTTGCCCCCGCGCCTCGCTCAGCCAGTGAGCGGGAACCGGTCTGTATGTGGGATCCGAACCCTCGGGCGGGAGTGCCGCCGCGCTTCCCAAGTGGCGCACTTATCCAGTGCGCCACCGGGCCGGCCCTTCCACAAGTTTTTTGAAGTACCCTCATATACAATCCATAGAGCCATTGCTGTTCAGCCTTCTGCTCTCAAGCCCCTCCCATGCTGTTCTGTCATAATCTCTACATCGCCAGTTGCTGCATGTGACTGTTAACAGGTGGTGGCAGGAAGTTAGTGGCAGCAGCTTGGGCTGAAGTCCCTGTTTATCCCTGGCTGTAGACAGCCTGCTCAGGTCCTCCAGAACCAGACACCATGACAACGAGAGTGATGTCAGACCCACTGTCTCCATGGAAACAAGCAAGGTATTTGGGTCAACAAGACAAACACTTCTGAGACCCAAACAGGAGACAGTCTGGAACCCCTGCATTCTGGGTCCCAAACTCTGATACCTCTCTCTTGGTTGGGCTCACCCATGATTCCAAAAGATACCCCTGTTCTCCCAAGTCAGCATCATCACTGCCTTATTAGGAAGTTCCTTCTGCTGTCTAATCTCTACCCTTCCTTGCCATGTTTTCAGATCTTTTCCTTGTCATCGACCTCTCGGAAGAAAACCCACCTCCACCCCCTCCCCACTATCCCGTTTCTTTTCATTGAGGCATGATTCAACAAAAATACCCACTAAAGATGCAGAGACTTCTATTTCTAAAAACAGCTAAAGGGGGAGCTCTTCCACTCTGTACAAAGCTAGGAAGTTTCACCTTTAGCTAACTTCAACCCCTCTAACAGTAATTCCCCCAAACCTCTAAAAAAAGGACCTAGGGCCACAAGAACTAGCCAGGGGTGCCCAGACTAAGTTCCTGTTTTGGAAACCTCCGCACACGGCTCCCTTTCCCCCAGCCCAGAAATGAAAGGCAGCTCTGCGGCTCCCCGGTGGAGCCCTTTCCTTCTAGAGTTCTGCCATCCCCTTCCTTTAACCCCTTACAGGGGATCTGCAGACCCCTTCCCAGCTGGAGCATTACCTGACCCAGCTCTTGCTTCGGTCTTCAGCTTAACTTGGTGCTGCCTCCCCCGGTTTCCAGCCAAAGAAAAGAGAGCAGTCACGTGACCAGGTACTGACCAATGGAAAGCCAACTTCCCTGAGGGGGAGGAAACTTTTGGCCAATAAGAGCTGGAATTGAGAACCAGGGGAGGGGAGATCTATACAGCCCCTAACCACGGGCTAATCTAGTGGGCGACTGGGATTCCGGCAAACTGAATTTTGAGTGACCTCTCTTTCTTTCCCAGTGTTTAAAGTTTCTAGAGGGAAAATTCAAAACTGAGAGAACGGCAGAGTGGTGTCTCCCCAGATGACAAGAGGCCAGGTTGGCCCCAGGATAGACAGAAACAGCTGAAGGACGGGGGAAGGGAAAGGGATGGGTGGCAAGTTGTGAGTTTGAAATTAGCCCTCCTGCCACTTTCCCCACCCTGTTCTAGCACAGACTGTTTAAAGATGTCATTGCTACTTTTTAAAAAAGTGGGAGGGGGGGCGAGTTAGGGTCTGAAAAACACCCAAGAAGGAAATTTGCTAGACCAGAAGCAGCCCCTCCCCTCATCCTTGGAGCTACACTTGACCCCTAACCCAAACAACTGAGAGGTGGAGGGTGAGCGCTAAACCTAGAAGAGATCAAGCACTTGTCTCCCAGAGGCCTGGGAGCCAAATCTCCCGCCTGGCTCCAGGCCTGGCTCCAGGAATGTGCTCAGAAAGGAAACTCAGTTTCTCACAGCAGGAACACAGGGGGAGGAGTGGGGAACACAGGCCTCCCTTCGCCTAGCAGCTTATACCAGGGTTAGCTCAGGGGCTGAGTCTTTTTGCCTTTCCCACTTCCAGAGACCGTGGGGAGTATACACATCCTCACCTCTTAAGCATCCTTCTCAGCACTGATAATGGCTCAAAACAAAGCCTTTTTGCACATAAACACGGAGCCCTTATCTGGATTTTCAAGTCATTTTATTAATCCAACCGTACAAAAGACCCCCACCACCACATCTCTGCCACCACTTTCTTCCAAAGAGTAGTGGAGAGGGTGAGGGAACAGATTGAGCAAAGACACTCCCCCCAGGAGCCATTTTACAAAACACAGTGGGAGGGAGACAACACAAAAATAGCAACAGATAAAAAGGGCAAACAGAACCACAAACACAACACAAAGTTGGGTGGTGGGGGTCATCTGTGCTCTTTTAGTGTGGAACACTAGAAGAAAGAAGCCAGAGGCCCATTCTCCTTTCTCACAGCCTCAAAAGCCGTTGGCTACACCAGGCAGTGTCTTCTCTCCATGTGCCAGGGAACTGAGAAAAGCAAGGTAGGGGACCAGAGAGGGTAGTTCTTTGCCACCACCCCTCCTGCTGACAGACCACTACCTTCTCTGAAGAGGGCCACACCCCATGCCTGCCTTCCTCACAGCATTGAGGAATGTGTACAGAGCCATAAGGAAAAAGCAGCTGTGAGGGGCTCCTGACCAGCCCCCAGGCCCATCTCTGGCAGGCAGTGCTTAAAAACTAAAAAAAAATAAAGCCCAGTGCAGGACTTTGGCTAAGAGGAACGAGAATTGCTACATCACAGGCCAGAGATGACAAGAAAGAATAAGGAAGGAGAAAAGCAAAAAACTCCAGGCTCTTCTTTTCAGTACCATGGCAATGAGGATCCCGCCGCCTCCTCCTACCCACAAGGCTGTGATGAGACCTCGCTTGGAGCCTTTTATCAGGAGAGGGAATGAGGTATAAAGACTCTGTGCCTTTTCAAGCTTTCCTTCAATCAAGCCAGAGAAGCGGGGGCATAAGCGCGCCAAAAGGTAAAGAACAGCGCTGAGTATAATGTGCAACAGATGGACAAGGAGGGCGGGAGAGTTGTAAACCACAGCCCAGACTTGCAGGGCAGCCCAAACTTCAAATATTCTGGTCTTTAATATTCTGGCAGACCACACATCCCAATTTTTGGCAAATATATGGTTATTAGGAGAAAAGCACGAGAGGCTGAGAAAGGACCAGTGACTTTGGTATGAGGAAGATATGTCCTAACAGCATCTCTTACTGTCTTGAAGCCCCAAATCACCAGGAAACTGCCACTGCCAGGAACTCTCCTGCTTTTTCAAGTTATTTGGTTCTCTGAGGGGGGGAAGAGTTGGGTAGATCTTGGAGGCGGCAAAGGGTAAGTTAGAAAAAGGAGAAAATCCCCATTTATTCCCTAAAGCTGTTTCCCAGAGCCCATAAAAGGGCTATTGCAGGACATGGGAAGAGACCCCAACTCCTCTGACCAGAAACCTTTAGCACTTGACTCCAAAAACTAAGGCTGGAGCTGTGGGGCTAGATAGGGGTGTTAGGCACAGGTGTTGGGGCATCCATCATCTGCAGAGGGGACACCCCTGCCCTCCGGATCTTCCTCCAGCCCCTTTACTCTTGTAGCCACACCCCTAGACCTCCAGAGATAGCCACAAAAAAATGGCTCTGCTCAGCAGGGCTTTGGTTTCCTGGATCTCTGTAGATCTCAACGCGTAAGTTTCCAAAAAAGTGAGCGATCCAGGCTCTTCTGCCTGCCCACTTCAGTTCCTTTGCTGCCCCATGGGGATGGGAAGCCAGTGGAAACAAGGACCAAGAGCCAGACATGGAAACAATCACCCTGGAAGAGCAGGGAGGGATGTATGCACTTCCCTGGGCCACCTTGCCAGTATCACCCATCGTTAGCAGCCACCAACTGCCCCATGCCCTCGCGGATGTAGACAGATTGGATCTCCTTGGTCTTGAGGCAGAGATCGCAGGCCCAGACGGCAGAGGCCTCAGTGGTCAGCAGCCCATAGGCACTCTCAGTCATGCCTGTGCACTCGCGGTGGAACCATTTCTGGCAGGAGGCCTCACAAAGAATGGCATCCTGGTCGTCATTCACCTCACTCCGACAGGCACCACAAGGGTACACCAGGCCTGGGGGAGGCTGAGGTCCAGAACCCCCACCTGCCTTGGCAGGGGGTGCCAGGCTGTTGGCATCCGGAGTACCCCCACCCCGCCCACTGCTGTTTGGGGGGAAACTAGGCTGGTTCCCGTTAACAGCAGCAGCCGGGGAACCTGAGTGGGGCTCCTGGGGAAAAGCAGTAGGAGCAGGTGGATTCAAGGGCTTCCCCCCGTCCTCACCACCAGGACCAGGAAAGCCAGGGTCTGGACCAGGGAAGGGACTTGTATTGGGGGGCAGGCTGGGGAGCCCCTGACCAGGTCTCTGGAGAGGAGAAGGGCCGAAAGGAGCCCCTGGCTGGGCAAAACGTTGGGGGAGAGAAGGGGGACCCAGCTCCCCTCTGGGAGGCTGTCCCATGGTGGGTGAGATCATGGGGCCAAATCCCCCCACTGGGCCTGGCATCATCTGTCCACCAGGAGGGCTAAAATTTTGACCCAGAGGCTGGTTGAAGGACTGGCTAGGAAAGTTCATGTTGCCTGGGGGTGGGTAGCCTGGGCCCTGAGGGGGCATGTTGAAAGCAGGGCCCATAGGGTTGGGAGGGAAAGGGGGAGGCTGTCGACGAAGTGGCTGGGGACCCCCTCCACCTCCAGTACTGTAGCCTGGGGGTACCTGGCCTGCCATGCCCCCCTGCACACGAAAGCCTCCAAAGGGCACAGGACTGCCAAGGAATGGAGGAGCTGCGCCCCCCACCTTAGGAGTTCCAAAGTCATCTTCAAAAGGGTTGGATGCAACCAGGTGATCCACCATGGGAGTCGGGGGTGGTGCAAACTCTGTCAGATGTGAGTACGCAGGGCCCTAGAAGAGGACAGATGAGGGAAAGAAGGTCATGGAGAGAGACAGAGCAAAATCAGAGCATCACAAACACAATACACATATTGGAGGCTGATACTGGCCAGTTCAGATCTAAAATGAAGATGGACCTTAGAATGTAATAGAGAAACAGAGAGTAGAGAGCAGAACCAGCATAGTGCAGCAACTGTGTTTTGAAAAACAGGCAGACCACACTGGAATCCCGGCTCTGACCCTGAATAACCTCAAGACCCTGGGGCATGTATTTAACTTTTTTAAGCCTCAGATTTCTCAGCTATAAAATAGGTTCAATGCCTATCTCTCGAAACTGTTAAAGCACTTTAGCCTAATCCCTGGCACTTAGAAAAGGCTCAGTTAAGCGATAGGTGTTATCAACATGAGGGAACCAGGACAGGAAAAATGAGAGAAAAGAAGACTGGAACTCTGCCCGATAAGACCTTTGGTCAAATCATCTCCTTGCAGAGGATATTTCCCCCTAAGTTTGTTATGAGGGTGAGGGAAAAGGCCAGAAACAAAGCAAGAGAGTTTTATCTTCTTCCTGCACCTGACACAAGCTACAGATACTGGAGTGGCAGAGGAGACAACGCCCAGAAGGGCTGCTAGGAATTACCCCCACTACCAACCACCAACCACCATTCACCTGAGTATTTGACTTCCTTCGCTTCTTTTCTGGGCTCTTCATTTGCAGACCTGGAAGAGCAGCAAAAGGCAGACGCAGACAAGTTTCCCTTGAGGTTGCCCCAACGTCCTCTCTCCTAGCCACGTTCTGAAGAACTCTACTAGCTTCAATACACGCTTGTTTATTTATTTAACAAATATTAACAAGGGGCATAACATGAACTGTGAGTATGACCATACTGTCAGCTACGTCTTCCTTTAAATGAGAACCCATCTCTTGATACCCTCAGACTCCAGGTGACTTCTGAATTCCATGTGGCTCCAAACCCTAGAGTCCTCAATCTGTGACATCTGCCCCAACCCCTGGAGGGCTACATACACACACTCTTTTTACCTGAGACTCCCTTCAGGCCCCTCAGCCTATGGACCACCACCCACTCACCAAACCCCCTTCCGAGGTTCCCAAGTCCTGGGCCTCTTCAGCCCCCGCCCCTCTCAGCGATCTCACCGGCCTTGCCCTGCTTCCTCCCGGTGCTGGGCGGCGCAGGGGGCGGTGCGGGGCCGCCACCTCCCTCCAGCTTGTCCGGTGGGGGCGGCGCCGAGGCGGCCATGGAGTGGGGGACCGGGGTCAGCGGCGGCGGGGGATGGAGGCGCCCTCGGGCAGCACCATCGCCC